ATTCTGTTGATCTTTTAAATCACATCAGACGTGCCCAATTGCAGGGCAGGAATTTTCTCTCATGTTCTTGCAATCAAAACAGACACCAGTTTTCCATCCTGCCCTGACCTTTGGAAGAAGTCATCTCTGCCAGTGCTGTGCTCTCTGGCACCAGAGACACTCAGCATTTCAGTCTTGACTCTGAGGGAACCGAGCAACCTCTGAATCACCATCACACTTCCCGCAGGCTAGCACCTGTGTTTTCCTTGGAGGTGACCCCATCCAAGAACTAACCAGGTCTGACCCTGTTTAACTTATGATATCCAAGCAGCAGAATTGTTCAGACCTCCAAAATTAAATATGAAACGCTCTATCAAGCCTCAGAGGACTCTGAGAACAAGCAACTGCAGCCAGGGAACACAGCCCCTGCTTAGAACTGCTGTTTGCAAGATACAAGCCCCGTATGCCATAGCACGTATTCTTCATTCCAAGTTTTAAGGGACTTCAGTGACAGGACCTTGCTAGGTTTAGGATGAGAACAGGTCCAGACGAGGGGGAGCAGCAGAGACTGTAACTTATAAAGTGACTCATTCCTACCAGCCCTATATGTGAGCCTTCTGCTTCCACCAAGCCAGGTGACATTTAACCACAGAAATATTTAACCTACTTTTTACAAGGATGTACATCATTGACCATGATAAAATACAGGGATGTGGGAGAGTCAGGATGCAGCCTTTTCACTGCAACTCCATATAAAGAAAAAAAAGGCAATAAAAAGGAGGTCTTGACATAAGGAAAACATCCCAATGAAATCCTGCCTTTTAATCTTGGCCACAATCTCTCTTCTCATCATCTTCCCTGCTTTTTAATCCTTTGCTGCACTTAACATTTTTATACTCATTCACTTTATCAACTTCACCTGTCTCAAAAGTCAGTAAAAGCAGAGGCCATAGTTTTAAAATATAGGCAAATGAACTGAGGCATCAAACTTCTCAACTTCTCCAGAGGTGCCAACTATTCAAGCTGTCAGAACTTCAAAGCAAGCTATGGGTGATCAGTGCCTTTAAAAATCACTTAAGTGCTCCAAGAGGAACATAATGCAAAAACAGAAAGGATAATAATTTCAAACGCATCTGATTGAAGAGTCAGTATTTTCAGAAGTGATTTCAGCACTTGAGAATTCAAGAACTACTTAAAAAAAATCAAATGTCCTCTGAAATGCATAGCTATTTTTAAAATGATATACAAATACCATTTTTGATAACATATTTACCTAGGCCCTCCTCAGAGAGGGTTGCAACATGGTACATTCAGCATACCTAAAAGTTACTCCAGGTTTGATCACATTCTCATCTACACAAGCTCCACCAACACTGTGGTGGAAGAAGAACTTCCCATATTCGCTGACATGAATCTGACATCTGTTCATCACTGAGCCAGCAATAGATAGAGTCCTGCCATGCTGTGTGTGAGCTGCCAAAACACTTTGAGAAGAAGGAAGAGTTTGCTAAGTGTACAGAGAGATGGGCAAAGTCAAGCATGTCATGTTTTAAGCCAGCCTGTTGATATAGGAGGTTTACAGCTGTCATTAGGAAAATAGAGAAGGGGGCCAGGATTGTAAACTCACACCAGTGACAGCTATAGATCAGGAAAAACCATTTCAACACGACAGTGTTTTACTGTTGAACTGTTGGACTGAACTTCTGTTAATATTTATCTGCTTTGCTGATCTTTAACATTTGGTCTGCTGCTGGTAGCAAATACAGTCAAACCAGCCTGAGGCCTTCACAAGATAAGTGTGTTAACCGGTCAGAGTCATCGATTAAAGCCTAGCAAGTCATCCTACCAAAGGCATCTAGACCTAAAGGGGTCAATCATCGTTTGAGCTCTTTGGACTCTTTTGTAGATAAAGGCAGTGGGGAGGTCTGGATGCAATGGATGTGGCTCGCATGTGTGATATACCTACACTATGAATTTGATCAGTGCCTTTGACAGATGGAACAGCTTGATCGTGCAGACTTCTTGGTCACTGCTTCTCAAGTTCCCAAGAAGCACCCAGCCACCATTTCTACCCCATTTCTACCCACTACTGTACATACAGCTGAAACACAAAGAAGCAACAATTAACCGTGAGCACAGTGGAGTTAATATCTTTGAAACATACTGGTTTCAAGCTTTGCTTCTCCTTGGCAAGACACATTTGGAACACAAAGATACATAATAGTTTCTCTGTCAGTGTTGCTGAGGAGGATGAAGGTTCTCCCCTCACTTGAGACAGTTTCACAATAGCCTAGCTCCTTTGAACCTAATGAAGCTTTCCTCATACCATCTCTAGAAGGAGAAAAGATTCAGAGCCACTAGGAACTTAGAATCCTAAGACTGCTCTGTATTAGATTTGTAGCCTTGGTCTGCTGCGTGATGGTCAGAAGATTGAACTCTTGAACTGTTTGCTGGTTTTTAATTTTTTGTGAGTCTTTGAGTGGGCTGAATCTGGAAATGGTAACAACATCCAATGCTGGTATACCAGACAGTGCCTAGCATATCAGGCTGTAATACTGGTTGGAATATTAGATACCATGATGTACCTAGAGAAGAACAATTTCAGCAATTGTAAATGATTTTGCAAGGTAAAATTCTCACTGCTGTAACCATGTTAAACTACATTTTTTTAATTTTTTTTTAGAATCTCTTTTCTTTGATTGAGTTCAAGCTCTTTCTTTGGGATAGCATTTCAGTTTGCCTTTCTTAAGGTAGATAAGATTCCCATTATATATTTCACTGCATTCATTTTTCTTTGGTTTTCTCTTGCACAGAGAAAGGAAAACCTGTTGGTTTTCTCTTCTCTGATACCACATGCCACTTCTAATATGATTCAAGCAACCTACCTAGCTACATCCAAAAAAGGTTTTTCTCAGTTTGTCTCCTGGTCTGAAGTGCTGCTCAGATCTCTCTCACTGCAAGAAACCTTCCCCTCTTCTGCTATTCATCATAGCAATTTCACATGCTCCCTTCAGCTGTTCTCTCCATGGGTTGGTGAAGCTGGTACGGTTATTATCCTCTTTATCCTGTACAAAGTAAAAAAAAGATTATTTATGGATAACACTGGAGACCACCCATGTAGCAAGAAAAATTGAGAAAAACCAGTTGTTTTCATGCTCAGGGCAGTTATAAGCATACATAGCTTGGATTAGACGATCTTTCCCATTCAACTTCTGTTCCTCAGTAAATATTTGTGACTTTGCTGATAAAGCAACGCTGGGTTTCTCAGCTGGATTTCCATGTGGACAATAAGCTGTGGGACTTGAGTACAGGATCTCATTCTATAACACTATTTCTTGAATAGTCAGTTGTTCCATTCTCTATCTTGGTCATGAAAAATCTTTTCAGGAATCAAATGGCAGAACAAAGTCACTAAATACAGCTGCTTTAACTGTGTTATTGATTGCTGCTTGTGAGGCCCACAGCTATAGATGGTAAGGGCTCAACGCCATTAAAATGATTTCTTATTGTGACCTAAATGCAGGCAATTCACGTTCAGGAAACTGCAACATTGCACATTTAAGAATACATATATTGTGTGGTTTCTATTTGATGCACAGTATCTTGATTTAGTTCTGTTGTACTCATGAGCAAGGCACATTGCTTCTTTGTGCCTGCCCTATCTACACAGCCTAGAAGCTCCTGAGGACAATCACCACGTGGAAGCAAGCCACCCCTCATGTGGCCAGCTTGGGGCTTTGAACTACATGAAGGTGAGAGGTAGCTTAAGACAGCCTTCATGCCAGCAGGAACTGTGACCAGCACCAGCTCTGGTGCAGGACTGCTGATGGATCTGAAATCCAGCTGGCCAAGGATGCTGACTCTGAGGTCAGCACCAGTGGCTTGCCTCTGACCCAGCTTTCCATTCAGCCCAACACATTTTGCAACGGGATGCCTGGAGAATTGTCACCATCTGCCACCTGTAAATTGTTTTCCAAATACCTGCGGCTCTTCAGTGCGCATAATCTGCATCCAACAACTAAGCCACAGGAAGGTTTGATACTTGGCTCAGGGGTCAAGACTGTTGGCCACTTCTAAATTCACTAGTTTGCAATCACTAAGTTCTTTCCAACAGGAAAAAAAAATGAATAAATTAAATTAAAAAAAAAAAGATCCATCTTTAAAAGAAAAGAAGCGTAGGAAGATAAGGGTGATTTCAAACTTCAATTTTACATTTTTTTCCCTTGCTGAATTAATAACAACCCTAAGACAACCCTTTCACCCACAGATCTGCTATACAAAGGCAACAAAAACGTCACTGACACCACTTTACAGCTAGAGAAATGGGAGCAAAAAGGGGAAAGTTATTTAGCTGAGAAGCCCTCAAGAGACCAAGAGCAGAGGTAGAAACATGAACAGTAATCTGCCGAGTATGAAAGTTGCCCCACGTACATGCTGCCTGTAATCATCACACTTCTAACACCAATAAAATCTTTGTTTAGCATTCTTTGTCCTTCTGCTACAGACAGACTCATGCAAGAGCTGTTTAGCCCTCTCTGACCCCCTTATCTCTCCTTCTCCTCCCTCCCCAACATACACATTCCGGGTTAGTCTTCATCTGACAGCAAAAGTCCCGTTAGGATGGACTTACGGGTTACACTACTAAAGTTTCTTTTTTTCAAAGGTCTCTTTCTTGCAGTATTGGCTCTGGTATTTAAGAGAGAAATTTTATGTTTTGTGCAAAGTGAGATTAGGCATGTGGGAGGTTCAGCGTGTTCAATAGGTAGTTGAGACAACATCTTCTATATAAAGATTATTTCAAAATTGCACTCAGTGCAAGTTACAGTTGAATGCACTATTTAAATGCAGCCTTGGCTTTTTTGCAATTTCCTGCCCAGAAGAGCAGTTCTCTAACTCTTTTGAAATAAAAAGACATAAACATTGGAAGGATGTAAGCAGTCAATTGACCTCAACAGTGCTCAGCCCTGGTGCTAGTCAGGAATTTTCCAACAACTTTTTTTTTTTTTTTTTTTTTTTGACAGAAAATGCTGATCTCTCAAAACTGGAAATCTTTGTGGGAAAAACATCAGTTTCAACAAAATGCTTGCTGGGAAGAATCTTCCACTCCAACTTGAGACGGATGGTCAAAACCTGATTGGGAAAGGATCCTCGCACAGCCAGCAGCCCAGCGGTTAGCACATTCCCCGATGATGTGGATTTATACCATCTGATACAGGAAAGATTGAGATGGCTCCAAATAAAGCAGAGCAAGGATTTAACATAGTCTTCCCACAGGCCTTGCAAATGCCCTAACATCTGGGTTATGGAACACTGTCTCTCCTCTGCCCCAAGGAATGGGATTTTATGAGTCAAAGCCAATCCACCAGGAGCAATTTTGCATAACAGATCGATCCTAGCCAAGGAGATGTTGTAGATCATAGACTTGAATCCTGGTTTCCCACATCTTACAGGAACGGCCTCAGAACTCAGAGCTGAACCTCTCTCTGTTCACTTGCTCTCTCTGTACCAAGAGGTCCTATTTTTATTTTGATGAGAAAAAAATTCTAAAACCTCCACATTTTTCCTGAAACAGATGTTTCACTTTCTAGCCAGCTTTACTCAGCATTTTGTAGAAGAGAGTCCTTGGTCTGATACCAGATGTTTAACATCTGCCTGACTTTGGGTTTTCCACTGCAGCCATTTCTTTAAAAAGTGGCCAACACACAGAGAGTGAGAAGTACTTTCTATCAACCACAATAGACTGTAAATCAGATGCCAAAGTTTTTGACAACTCCCCCAAAATGTTCTCGTGTTTTTTCAACAACAAAAAGATAGCTTCTTTACAATAAAGCATCATTTAAAGAGTCATTGCAGGAGCCCACATTGGAAGCGAAGGGGTCTGATGCTTTGCCTTCTGTGCAGTGCTGGTCTTTAACGCCTGCTTTGTCTGTTCCTGGTCTCAGAGATAACTGGTACGACTTGTGCAAGACCCTTGCATGGCTCGAGTCAGCTGATCTTTTTGCTGCAGCTCTGCAGCTACCGGAGAGCTGGCTTGCACTCCCTTCAGCTAGTGACTGCTCCTCACTATGGTCTTAAATATTGCAAGGTAGGGTGGAGAAAAAGGAGGAAAGGATAATCTGCTAAAAAACACTGTGACCTCCTGGTATTGAGGGAGGCAAGGAGCGGTTTTCTCAGAGGGTCAGAGAGGTACCAAGGTGTAGCAAAGACCTGTGAGATACAGCCTCCTCTGTTCCTCCCTTTGGCCAAGGCTGGAACCCTCTTTCCGAAAGCACTTGGGCACACAGGAGGAGTGGCGCTGACAATTGTTTCTTTAACCAGTCCTACAGTTTCCATCTGGAAAAGAAGCTCTTTTCTAACTCAACAGTATAAACTAATGCTTTGCTCGGAGCTAATCCTTCTTCTAAATTAGGAACTGAACTCATCAGTATTTACACAGAAGTAGCTGGTAGCTGGATGACAACCTCAAGGAGCATTAGCTGAAAGGTGCTGAAGAGTAATAGCATTATTCTATCATTACTACAAGAAGAAAAGGAAACTGTACATCACAGGGAAGGCTGACCAGCTGCTAGCATTACATAATAGATGGGTTCATTGTTGATTCAATAAATGCTAAGAATACAGAAATTTATCTAGAAAGCCAGATACTCTTGTGTCCACATTAAGGATTTACCAAAATGTATGGTTCAAACACACTATATATTTCTCAGTTAATTCTCTTTGCATGCTGGCTTACTTCATATCTTTTTTCCCCCAATAGTATTTTTTCAGAGAAATATAAATTGGAGAGGAGAAACAAAAAGTGTGTTTAAGCAAACAAGCACTTCATCTCACCAAAATAATTGAGAAAAAAATAAAAATCATTTTCAGACTTTACAAGAGCCCAGCTCCACACAGCACCTACTGTATCTGAGGGAGATTTAAAACTTGAATACAGACAGGAGGCACATCACAGCCCACCTTCAGAAAGAGAACAGCTGCAGCTGAAGGGGAAACTGGAGGACTAATGATCGTTTAAGTACTCTATTGCTGCTGTCAGGATGTTTACAACACAGCACAGGGAAGATGCACAAAAGGACTCCTTAGACAAATGCTGAGTATATTGACGAAGGATGAAAACATCTTATATAAAAAAGTCAACATTTGTTAAATAAAATACAACACAGTAAAAACACAGTGCTGAGACTACCGCTCAATTCAAAGTGAATCCAGGCAATTTCACAGGTAACTGGAAAAAGTAGTGGGAGAGAGAGAAAACTTGTGCTTCTGACAGACACCTGGTGATTACAAATTAGAAGTGGATATTTACTGAGATAACATTACCTACTATTGTAATTTCTTGCATCTTTGTTTGCAGAATGTAGTTCTGGTGACTGGAGGTGTAAAATACTGAACGCTTGTATCCTCACTTGGAAAACAGAGATGAGGAAAAGGAGTCCCATCTGTTGTGCAGGTAGGCATGAACGTACGTCAGAACACGGACATGAACATGTTTGGCAAATACAGCGTGTGGATGGAAGCTTTGGGATGCTGATAACAGGAGCAGAGCCCTGGCAGCCCTTTCACCAGTAAAGCCTCTGTACACTGCAGCTGTACGAGAGACCTACGGACAAATAAGATACCATGCGGTAATCTCACCGCGCTATCTAAACTCTGGTTCCAGCTCCTTTGCAGGAGGAGCAGACTTTCCAAGAGTTCAGCTGCCATTTAAATAACAAACCAGGTATCTTGGTTTTCCAGAGAGCGTGAAAAATCCCAGCTATCACCGCTCTATATCCTGGAATCTATCAGCATAGCAAACTGTACTTCATTTGTAGCTGCACAGCTACATCAATTTACACTAGGCAGGGAGCTTCTGTTTCCAAACAGACCATGAGAGAGTTACGACCCACAAATCAGTCCAGAATATCCTTGGCTCAGTTTCAGGATGCAAAAACGGCTTTTTCTCTTCAAAATATTAAAATTGAATGATCTAGTGAGGAGGCCTTTTCTACCTATTTTGGTTATGGGTCTTTTGAGAGGTTGTTTTGACTATCAAGTAGCTTTTAGTGGTTATCAGTGACCACAAGATCAATCTACACTCTTAGAAAATAAATACAATTCTTGTTTACAATAAAAAGCAAACGTGCAAGTAGAGAAGAAAAGAAGAGAGAACAGGATTAATAAATTACAATTGTTAGCAAGGACTAACATGTATCAAAAATGGCAAATCCTCTGGAGTACGGCTGAGCTTCTTTTATTCAGGTCAATGACTCCTTTTGCGATTCCCTTCTCTAAAAATGAGCATTTTTCAATGATTTATGTATAATAATCTCCACATCAGCATATCTTATTTTTCACTATTTGTTTGTTAAACATGCAGCAAGACTCTCATACTGAAGCCCTTAGCCTTGAAAATACAACTGGGACAAAGGCATAAAAATATACATATAAAATAGAAATATTTATTAGTAAAGCTCATGTTTATGTTTTGACGTGTAGGTAAGGAAACAAAAAACACACCATTTTAGATTGCTGAGCAGTTCAGACTTTAATGGTGTGAGTGTCAGACAGATACGTGAGGGCTGGTTATTAAGAAGAAAAGAAAATCATCCATCAGAGGCCACCCGAGCAGGAAACTGCAGTAAGCTTTATAGGGGCACCTTATCCTTGGCCTTCGAAGCACGTCTCTCTGCAGCCTGTAGGACTCGGAACGGGACACAGAAAAAGACTGTTATTTGCATTAAGATGACTCAAATCAGTTTAAACAGATCTGCAAATTCTCCAGCTCAGGGTGGGTTTCTCACAACCAAGAACTTCATCACAGAAGATTTTCAGCTACCTCTGCTCCTGCCCGGTTACCTATATAAAACCCACATTCTCCCAAGTGCTCGCCCACCTCTGCTTACCCACCCCAAGTGCCCATTTCCAGTGCAGGAACTGGCACACTGATTTCTTGAAAACAATTCAGACCTCTAAGAAGTGGACACCCCCCTTTCATTAAAAAGACTTTTGCCATCCAATCAAACCGGGAAAGAGCCCTGTGACAAAAAGGATGACGGATGTGATTTTCCAAGAGTGAATCTAAAGACTGAAATAGCATCTACAGAGAGGACCAAGACCACCTCTTACCAGGCTAGAAAAGTCAGAGCAGATCTCAGGTGACCCTTACTATGCATGCCCCATTGGATTATTATGCTGGTAATCCCCTAACTGGATTTCCACCATTTCCACTCATTTCCACCCTGAAGACTTTAAAAATGCAGAATTCACATATGGGAATATCACACCGGGCAAAATTGCACTGCATATGAGAAGTGACAGCTCTTTGGAGGTTGTAATTTCTTATAGGAGCTACTCAGATAATTTTGATTGAATACAAGTGACAATCCCAACAGATTCCACTCGCAGTACAAATTACCTTTGTTTCCAGCTCTGTCCGTGCCCTGCTCAGGAGCGAGACAGATCTGAACAGAGCACAAAGAGGGGCCTTCCCCTTCACACCTTTTCCAAGGGACTGTTTGTAGGCATGAGCAGGATGGAGCACAAAGAAAGTGGCCTCGTTCCTGCTCGTACGGTACCTGTCCCCCAGCGAGGAGGAAGATTTCATTCTCTGCGCTGCCGGTACAGAAAGTTTCACCAACGTGAAATCCATTTTTAAAGTCCCGGGGGATGGAGAGGGGCAGAACTGATAGATGAAATGGCACATTTCCAGCACCTTCCAGCTAACAGGCCTGTCCCACCCAGCCAATCTCTGGCCAAGGCTTTAAAGACAACCGAGCCTTCTTACTAGAGCTGTACTCTCAAAATTGACTGGGTACTAAGTAGGCACTGATGTCCATAAATATTTCACAAGGAAAAGAATGCATTTCCCAAGCATTGACTAGCTACATATATTATTTATATAAAACCATAACTTAAGTTGAAAAACAATAAATGCTTCAACAACATACCTACTCACAACCTGCTCCATTACTAAGTAAAATGGCCTCTGGCTCTTCCTCAAGACCTCACAACCATGCAGAAATACAATGAGACCTGCACATAAACATGACCTACAGAGGTGGAGCACGGGATTGTGGTCACTTTGCCCATACCAGTTAGCTATACAATTACTTGGGCAAGGGATCATAAAAGCCTGACATTCATTTACATGTTCTATTTGTATTATACTTTACACTCCCGTTTGAGATCAGGTCTCCCACTCCAAATAAAGGGCTGACGATGCACAAGGAAGTGGTGTTATCTCCTAGTTCATAAACAAAGGGTTAGAGCTCAGGGAGATAAAGGACTACATTTTCCACTGCCATTCACCCAGCAGAGCTCACTGATAGCCTTTTCGAGAGAAATAAGTTGCCACAAAAAAGATGAAGGTCAGCAAAACCAGAGATTGCACATTCCAGGGTCACGCCAAGAGACTGCTAAAGAGTTGGGAGCTGAATTTAGCCTTCCCACTTCCCAAATGACTTAGCTACAAGACTCCCCTTTCTTGGCAAATGATCGTCAAACAGTTTTTTAATGACTGCTTTGTCATTCAACCTATTCAGCTTTGTAAAGGAGGCATCCCAGAGGAGGTGCAACAGAATAAAGCTCTTTTGCCTGAAGCACTCGTAACATTAATGGAAGGAAGTTAATTCTGCTGCTGAAAAAGGGTTAAGTGAGTTTTGCTAGCTCACAACCACAGCTAGGGAGAAGGGAAAAGCTTTTGGAGGGGAGAAAGTAGATCTAAGATGTAGGCAGAGCCACCACCATTTATGTGTTTACCACTCAGCTGGCAGCTAATGGCCCATGTATAAACTCAGGATGAAAGTGGGTAAAATAAATTGCATTCTTTAAAAGAGCCATCTCTTCTTTCACTGGCACTGAAAAAGCATCTGAAACGAACCCCAGAAAGCTATTTTGAGTTTGTTTTTTTGGCAAGACACAGAAAGTGCCAAGATAAAGTCAGTCAATTCTGTATTGTGAAGAAAGAAAAAAAAAAAAAGGCAATAAAAACAGTGGAAGCTCTGGAGACGAGACTCACCTCAGTGCAGACAGCAAGAAGGATATTTATGCACTATTTGTACCACACCAAGTGCAAAGTTTGCCTTGCATCGATTATAATGCACATTTCAAAGATCCTTCCAAACTTTGGCATAGCGCTGCTAATGTAGCAACACCAGCCAGCTGAAGAGACAGGGCAGCCCCTCTGGACAAAGTCAAATGGCACGTTCCTCGCCGCTCGACACTCCGAGACACCACGCAAATCCTGATAAGCAAGCAGGGCAGGCTGAAAGCTGCAACACGACAGAGCTGTGTTAGTCAGGGACCGTTCCCCGAGCATCGCCTGGTTGCTTCCGAGCTCTTCCTGCGTCCCCTTCACTGCCTGGAAGTGAGAGGACTTGGGTGCTGCTTGGTGTCACAGGGCTGTGCTGGGGCCAGGCGCCAGCCACTGTTAGCAGACAGAGGGGCGATTGGGATGTTGGAGATCTCCTGGAGGTCTTCAAAAGCCGGCTGGATGTGGTCCTGGGCAACCCATTCTGGGTGTCCCTGCTGGGGACCAGATGACCTCCAGAGGTCCCCAACAGCCTTAACGTCCTGTGATGCTGTGACTCTGATTTTGTGAGGCAAACCTGGCCGCTGTGCTGCCTCCCCCTCCATCACTGCTCAGTGGGGAGGGAAAAGCAAAAGGTTTGTGAAGGGACGGGGAAGAAAAGTGTCCCTGAGAGCATCCCCGAGCTCTGCACAGCACAGCAGGAGGGAGGCCAGAGCCTGCCCTGCTTTCTCCATCCCCGAGGAGCGGAGAAGGGCACGGATCTGCATCCCACCTGAAACACAGCTCTCAGGAGCGAAGCCCACTCACTCACTGCGGTATTACTGGTTTATATGGCAGGTGTGAAGTAATTCAGTTCGTTTGGATCCAAGAGCTCTCAACAACAGACAGAAAGATAAATAACCTTGGGAAATGGGGTGTTGACAAGCAGAGACTTGTGGAAAGTGACGGGAAGGATCAGGAACCTGCACACCCAGCTCCCCGCTCCCTCAGCAGCCTCAAAGCACCCGCTCCATCAGAGCCTTGGCTGCTCTCCGCGTTTCCCTTTCCACTGACAAGGCATTTCAGGGAAGCTCTGCTACGGTTGACGTAGGCAATCAGCCCTTGCAGCCAGTCCTTCCAAGGCCTCTCCTCATGAGGATTTCTGATGGCCGCTACCATGATGACATGCCCAGCCCTCTGTTGCCACCTCACCATAAGGCCAGGCTCCATTGATGTTGCTTCTTTGCCCCAGGACCGCTTTGCCCCAGCAAACTGGTCCCACCAGCTGAACGTGGAACCAACCAGCAGGAGGTAGTGAGCAACCCAATGCCTTCAAAGGATTATTCGACTGCGTGATCGAAAATCTGAATGCATCCCCAGCTTGGCTTCAAGCCCCGACATCCAACACACCTCCAGGTAGCTGCTTGCTCTGATTTCTGCAGCAATAACATCTCAGCGAC